GTGTTTTGTTTTTAAATCAGACATGTATCTGACTAAAAGCCTCCTGAGTCTGTGAGACCCTGATCAAGAGCCCCACAACCCATTCTACACATAAAATCATCAATTAAGTCAGAGATAACCACATTATWGAAATATATTACAGTTCACCTAAAAAAAAAGACTATACAATGTGTAGTGTCTTTATAAATCAGTAGTAAACAACCACAATAAGTTTCTTCAGAGCCATAAAATCTATGTGGTGTCACTTTTAAGAAACGTTTATAATTAATAAGCTGCAGATACGATCACCTGATGGTTCATCTGTAGAATTGGAGGAGAGACACTGTCATCCTGAGTCACTCAGGCTCACTGAGGCAACAAGTTTTTATTTAAAGAGGAGACATTTTCCAGGAAATATTTGTGCTCCAGTTTGTTTTATGTGCAGCTTCTCCACTCCCGCGCCGCTCTCTTTGCAGATGGAAAGTTCTTCATCTGAWAGCTGGTATCTGTTACCCGCCGACACACTTTGACGCCATCACTTTTTATTGCCTACGTGTCCGAATGGTYGATACGAGGTGCCGACGCTCTGAAAGACGTCATCTCTAAGAGTGATTGCTGTGACAGGTGTGGATGATGGATCTCTGGGCTGTGGGACGCAGCCCCGCGTTGTTTGGATGTTCAAACGCGCCGCAGACACATYATGCAGAGGATCAGCCAACCGTGGTTTTTTATGTTACACTTCTCTGGACCGGACTGTAATATATAGTTAGACTGGCTCGTTGATGCATCTGTTGTCCTTCAGGTGTTGCGTTTTATTTTCATCCAGCATCATTAAATGAGTTTATTGGGTAGGCAACGCAGTGAGTTCATCCTTCTCTCTCTGATCTTGTTGTTTTGTTTCACACAACTGGAGCTGCACATTCTCAAACATTAGTCTACATTAAATCCCAGAGAATAATTATTTATAAAGCTTACATAGTGTCTTTTAAAACCAAAGTTTTAAGGAGTGATTGGTTTTACAGCACCTGGTATTCCCAAGCAGTCTCCCATCCAATACTAACCAGGCCAAACCCTGCTTAGCTTCCAAGATCCAATGAGATCTGACCTGGTCAACATAAAATTACAAACCACAAAAACAAAAGAGCAATCAAAGTTACAATAAAAGCAAAAGTACAGCAATGCAAGTTGATTAAAATTAGGTAAACATTTTATGTAAAACACAAAAGCTTCTTTAAAAGGACAGTTTTCAGGTGGGGTTTAAAGTGACCATCATCCTGACCTCAAGAGGAAAGCTTTTCTGGAGTCTGGGATCCTGAGGAGAAAACATACAGTTGTTCTCCAACGGGAGCAGGGAGCAGCCAGGAGGCCTTGATTAGAAGACCTCAGGGCTCCAGGAGGAAAAGAAGAGGTTAGAAGTTCACTGATGGAAGCAGGAGCCCGGCTTTTTATTGTTTTCTAACCAAACAACAACACCTAAGTTCTGCAGTTTTCTTTCGTGATGTTCTGACCTCTGACTGGTTGTTTTAGTGACCGTATTGGCAAGTAAAATATGTTGAACTTGTGCCTGCTTCAACACACCTGATTCAGTGATTAAATCACCTCTTCAGGTTCTGCATTAGCATGTTAATCACCAAAACATCAGCAAATTATCTGAAGCATGCAGGATAGTGGATCAGGATTAGAAACTCCTCTTAAACTTTAACCTCTGGTCTATAACTTTCACTAATTTTGCTGTTCTTTTACTATTTTCTAGAAAATTAAAGAAAATAATCTGATTGTTTCATCAGTTTAACTCCTGTACCTCTGCTGCCCATCATGATAATCCAGTTTTTATCCGTTTGTTGTTAGGAAACAGTGAGACAAATTATGGATAAATGAGTCAGAACTTTCTAAACCCTCATTAAATGTGAAGACATATGGGGCTAATTAAAGTTTTTAATKCTTACCAGGAGCCTCATTTATAAAATGATTTGGGATTAATTAGTTCTTTGTTATCGTTTTAACAGAAAACAACGTTATTTTTTTGAACCCATGTGATTTTTCTGGATCTGCTCATCTCTAAATAAAACTAAGATTTTATATAATTGATTTCCCTGCTGACCAAAAACCTGCATTCAGGCCTGCGTGAACATTTATAAACTTATTAATAAATACGACAAAAAACTATATTTGACTGTTTCTCCTTTATGTTTTAAAGCTCGAAGAGGTAATAAAATCACTGATTTGACCACTGGTTTAGAGTCACTTTTTTCTTTTATTATTGGGGTAATTTTAGTTTGGCCTGTTCATATTATTTACTGCATTAACTCACCTTAACCTGCATTTTAACAAATATTTCAGATATTCTCTACCGAGATCTTTGATTTTTCTCTCATGACTTGAAGTTATTTTGGTTTTAACCACAGTTTGTAGAAATCTGCACATAATTTCTGAGCGTAATGAACAGTATCCATGTTTTGTTCAATAATCACTGCCTTAAATGCAAATTTAAACTCGATTAAAAGCCGTTTGCTCAATTTAGCAGAATTCAGGATTCTAAAAGGTGCTTTTTGCATTTAATAAATCTAATTTTCTCCACAAACACGGCACATCTTTCCTAACATGTTAATGTTAGCTGAGTGGATTCAGCTCAGATTTATTGCAGACTTGAGATATTTTGAGATGCGACTGGGTGGTAACAAGGTCCCCCCATCCCTGTGGCTGGCCTCTGGTGGGTTTCAGGTAGCTTACAGCACGACACTAATGAACAGTGACAGTCACGCCTGCTGATGCCTTGCCCTGTGGATCACGCTGCTCTGTGGTGGACCCGGACCAGCTCGGGCATACCAATACGCCAGCTCTGCTGCAGCGCCTTTCCATGTTCAGAATAACAATGTGGGCCGCTTTATTAGCAGCTCTGTTGGAGAAATAAAAAGCTGCTGAACGTGTTGTTTGGAATAATGCATCCAGAGGTCCTGTTTAATGCTACGTGGAGGACTTCTCCTGCCTAAGCAGTCGTTGCAGTCGCTCGTTCGTGATCTATCAACTCTGATCATAAACTCAATCTGTATCAAAGCTCCCGAGCTGCAGAGCCTCAATCATATTTATATGTGGATTACAGAACTATGGGATGAGATATTGATTTTCTTGCAGGCAGATTTTAGGAAGGCAGTGCTGAGGTTTTCAAAGCTTTGAAGACAAAAACTGCGAGTTTTCTTCACCAGAGGACGTTTTTGGTGCAGTTTTTACATATTTCATTACATTAAAACTACCCTTTAATGCAGATTAACAGCTGAAGAATCAGCTCATGCACACATTAAGGTCATTTGCTGTAATTCAAAGTGAGCAGGTTGCCTTTAACCAAGTGGGAAAACTGCCACACAGTAGCTTTCTAAAGCTTTCGGCTGCTGAGGGAGCCTCCTGCCAGACTGTCACAAATGGTGAAACTTCAGCCTCAGGTGACGAGGGAGCCAAGACGGAGGAGCAGGAGAGCTGTTGTGCTAAAATGATTACAGAGATAAAGATGAAAAGTCTTGTTTTCGTCCCGTGATGCCGCTGTAATGATGGCAGGGTGAAAGCCGGCCTGATTCCTCCTCACCGAGGAGGCAAATGAATCATTGTGGACAACTCACCGGCTCGTCGCAATTAGTCACATTCCTGCTGGATACCGAGCTTCTGCAACTCCTCTACAGTTTGTTGCTCATCAAGAGGTAGCTGGTGTGATACCAAGCTGCAAATATTTACTCCAGACGTTTCTGCGGCTTGGAAAAATAAAGAAAATGGAAAAAATAAAAAATAAAAAACCTTTGTCTAAGCCTCTAAATAAGTCTTTTCTTCTGTTTGCCAGGGTGATGCTGTGGGGAATATCATGTAGCTGCAGAGCAAACAAACGTTCTGCTGCTGCGTAAGACGGCTGGAAACCTTTTCTCTTGTTGTATGAGATGCAAATAAACCCCAGAAAATATGTTATAGGTCTCTCTGTGGGCTAGACCTCGTGCAGAATATGAACGAGCCTTAATATTTGGGTCATGTGAATATAAAGCATCATTTATAGTTTGTTGTTTGCATGCTTCAAGTACCAGTCTGAAGTTATTCGAAGGAAAAACTGGGACAATCTGAACTCTCCTGTTGTCCTCAGGTCAAAGTGGCCCCCGAGGCCAGAGTTTTCTTCACAGTATGTGCTGTTTATACACAAGCTAGATACAGTAAAACCTTTCCAGTTCTCAGAGTTTTGTTTCAACTTGTTTAAAAGTTCACTTTTTTTTTCTTCCTGTAAGAAAACAAAACAAATCAAACGTCAGTGTTTTTGGGAGTGAGCTCCGTTCTAAACAACATGTTTGACATGTTTTAGCCACATTTTGTCTGGTTGAAAAGATGACAGAAGATTTTTTTACGCTTCATATCAGTCGATTTTCTTTCTTTGTTTCTTTAACAAGAAATCGATGCTGAAATCCCTGTTAGAGCTCGCTGGGTCACATTGAAGTGCTTCTGAATTGATCATTAGAATTTCAGATTTTGTGTGCAAACATTGTGCACATTTGTTGCTGCTGTCTGACATTGATTTTATCATTCAAGCCTCCTGTTCATGAGTTAGGTCTGTCCTTTTTATGTTCCCATGACGGCGATCCGCTGCTGCAGAGTCTGCAGAAGCATTAAACTGAATGCAGTGTGCAAACTCGTTAAAAATGTAAATAAATCTGTTCTGGCTCAGGTGGTTCTCCTCCTCCTTTAAAACCAACAATTATTTTTAGCTGATATTAGTCCTGCCACGCTGACAGAGCTTTTATTTTGACCTCACCTCACCTGGAAGGTCGTTCCTAATTTGACGCAGAAGAAGATCTCAGCTCAAGTTGCAGTTTTGATGGATTGTTTGAGGAGCTCTCTCCCCTCCTGCAGGACCAGCGGAGGTTCAGATGAATTAAWGATTCATCACTTTGTGCACCATAAGGGCTATGCTCTGCATTTAATTACTTCTTCAGCATAACAGGATTTTATTCTTTAATATGCTTCTTTTTCCACTAACTGTGTTTGTTTAATTTCAGCTAACGGTGAGTTTCCACCTGTGGCCACCAGCACAACCAGGCTCCTGCCGAGACCGACGACCAAGACCCCACAACCCTCCATCAGAAGCCCTCCAGTGACTTTCCCCACCACAGATTACTGTAAGTCTGACCTTAAGAACAAAAACAATCAGATTCTGCTGATCTCACACACATGCCCACGTGTATTGATGGAGGTGGTTGGTAACAAAGTAAGTGCGCCCCCTGCTGGCGAGCACTGCAGCTGCTGCAGACCTCTGGGCAGGGGCAGGCCGGGCAGCTTTGAAGAGTAAAATCTCCCACTTTGTCTCGAAAGAATGTCAGCGGAGCCAGATGCTCTGACCTGACATTTTCCATCCCAGACTCTCTAATTTATCTGCTTCAAAAATGTAAAAACAGTCAGAGAGTGATCCTCTACAGTTTAGGTCCAAGGATTCAAGGAAGTTTTGTCATTMAYAACACACATACATGTGGTGGAACGAAATTTTGTACCTAAGGTCCTGGTCTTTCCAAAAATATAGACAAAACAAATRAATATACTCAAAGWGTACATACATAAATATACTCAAAGTTACTGGTTACTTTCAGAACACACAAACTTCTTTAGCRAGAAAATGTTGAAGTTGTTGAGTTTTGTCTCTGACACCATCACCCTAAAATTAATCTGCAATGATTTTCAAAGCATTAATCTTATATATATATAT